AAAGGTTATCATCCTTGGGCCATAGTTCATCGGCAAGGATGCTGGGGGGGTGTAATCTCACCTGAACCTGCGGACACTTCCAAGGCCGAGCCTTTAGTGACGCTTGGCAGAGATCTTGGAACGACACATGCGACCATTGGCAGGTCAGTGGGGCGTTTTGTGGATTTCTGGGGGTGTCCAAAGATGTCCAAAGATTTGTCGTGAGTTGTTTATTTTATTTTTAGATTCTAGACGGAAACTAGAGCATACTAGAGCTACTTATATCGATCTACTTATATAATAGTGTCCTTCAAGAAGGCACTAGCTGCAACTTGCTGAAAACCATCACACTACAGTCCTCTAAAGTCAATCTGTATGGTCGAGCTGGTCTTTTGGTCGGTATGTCCCTGATCAACCCGACGTAGTGGCCCACTTCGGCGTCCCCGCGAGGGAAGGGGGTGAACTTTGGACTTCCCAGGTGTTTCTTTTGGTCTGTGACTTCAACACCAGGGGTGGCCTACAATATGGCGTGACTTCAAGAAACGAAGCTGGACCCTTGCATGAATGGGACATAATAGGACTGGGACCATTATAGTATATATAATGCTCACTGAAGCCTGTGAGTGGAGCACCTTTTGGCTGTTGGCCAGGCGGGCCGTGGGCTGAGGTTGCTTCTTCCCGTGCAGGAGAGATTTTTCGAGCATGGCTCGTGCAGGTGCGAAGACACCGAGTCACTCGATGGAACGTTGCCAGGTCACGGCCTCGATCTATATACCTGGACTCGACCCTGTTGGTACTCCTAGAGCATGGGACATGGCCCTATTAAATTAAAACGGGTCACTGGTGCCAATGTTCCAAGGTACTTTTAAAATTTTTGATACTCCAGGTTCTTCAGGTATACTAATACGCGAGAGAACTTGTTCGGATCATTCCGTATTCCCAAGTTTCTCTTCAGCTGATGTTTGGCAGACACGGACCTGTACAGGATTAGACTGATGGCTGCATGTGTCCTCCAGTGACCTGGAAACCGGTCCGAAACATGGAGGGTGAACCACTTCATTGACAGATAACCTTGAAAGCTTCTGCAGATAACTTTTATAAATTACATATACTTTTGGAGGGTGATAAGCTTGTTATATCACACATTTTGGAGGTATAATACACAGGTATAATACTTTTGGAGGTATAATATCACTTGTGTATAATACAGCAGGGTGATAACTGTTATACACATTTTCTTCTACTGTATTTCAGTGTGCACCGGTGCACTGCACGGACCTCGGGACCGGCCAGGCACGCAGGAAGAAGGCATTGACTTGGGCCTCGCGGTCGTTGGGAGACCCAGGCATTGAGACCCTCCGCGACGTCGGGGCCCTGTCGGGATCCAGTCGGACATCCAGTCGTACCGAACCTCAGGTTGGGTGATTGGAGGCGTTATGTAGGCGCCAGGTGGGTGACCTTTTGAGAAGGTACTTGGGATCCCTAGCTGAGTCGCTTCGCCACGGGGTTGATTTCTGTTGGGCTGGGCGGGTGCCGGGGGTCGCTCATCCTCCTCTCCAGCCGATACCGTCTAAGGTTGGCGGCCGATACCGTGCGCCACGCCTACACCGAGGGGCTTCAGAACTTGTTCCTCGGATCGCTCCGTTTCCGCGAAGGGAACGAATCCACGACTGCGACTGGCGCGCGCGCGTGGTATGAGATGTTGGTGAATGCCAGGTGGGGAATTCCGGTGACGAAGGGGAATGTCTTCATTTCAGGTGTTCGACCAGCACATCCTTAGGAGTTGGCTCATGAGAGAGGGTTTGATATGAGTGAGTCTTGGAGCTTGGCACTGGGGTGAGCAAGAGTGAGACCAAGGTTCAATTCAACTCGTTGTTGTGAAGACGGGAGTTGGCGAAGGCCTAGAACTGCTCGGCACCACTTAATCGCCTTTCGCCGGAGTTCGTTCTGAGCCGGAGGTCATGTCATTCAAGGAAACGTAGCTGCCCTGCCTGATGTGCAGAAGGTGGTGATTCAGATGGACTTCAGCAGGGTCCAGCGGTCCAGCGATCCCTCCCTTCTTCCCCGAGCGAACGCGAAGCCGAGGGGGTCTGACCAGCCATAGTAAGGACTTCGGAGCAGGCCACGGAGCAGCAGGTTCCGGAGCAGGTTCCGGAGCAAGTTCCAGAGGAGGTTCCGGAGGAGGTTCCGGAGCAAGTGCTGGAGTGGTCTCACTCCATTCGTGCTTCTCACGGCAAGGCCTGCCTAAGCGAGGGTGCGCGCGTCGGTTGCTTGCACCCTCGCTTGCACGTGAGTGTGCTCTCATGTTGTTTTACTTGATGTTTCACCATGCAGCTTCCACCTTGCCGCGTGCATTTTTGTCCTTGAGGCTCCTTAATTAATTGAGCGAAGTCATGACTCAAAAATCCTGAGTGGATCAGTCATGTCAACCATAAACCCTATGTGACAAGAATGCACTTGAGCATGTTTTTCCTCCACCAGTGTCTCAACCTTTTGTGAGCCGTGTGAAAAGTTCAAGGTTGACCATCTCTGTCCTGGGCTGTCCCTCGGTTTCTTTCGTTCAGACAGATATATGACAATATGGCTGAGATTGGTTGAAGGTGTTTGTGTTATTCTTACAGGTGCCAATCTCCCGCCCAGTGTATGGGGTGGAGGGCATGGCTCCTTGCCTTGGCAGATTGCTGAAGTCATTCACTGAGCTCTGAAGCACCACATCTCACCTCTCCTCCAGCCCCTGCCCCTGAAATAAGGCGCTCCTGGGCGGTCTTCCGGCGCACCCTCCGTCAGATGGTCGCAGGCGTGGCCAACCCGGCGAGGTGAAGAAACATGGATGGGCTCGGGGCTTGTAGAAAGAAAGTATATGAAATCATATGAACATATAAAGTACTGATGTGCCATGAAATGTATACTGAAAAAATGTTTGAAGCACACAGTATGCTATTGTATATATGCATACCGTTTCTGTGAGTGTTTGGGGCATTAGGTCGTAAAGTATGCCGATGTTTCTTGTGAGTGCCTACAATTTTTGAATATTTTGATATGTTCTGCATACGGTTACGCCATTAAAATATATGGAGGGCGGCCCAGGGTTGATCCTCCCGGAGGTAGTGTATAATTCCTATTCTGTCCGTATGTTTGGGGGGCGACGGGCAGCTCCGCATATTTAAATGTGCAGTTCCTTCATCATTCACAACAATAAAAAACAGCAGGATTGCCGGGCCTTATGTGGGGGCCTTGGCTCCTCACGTGCCAGTGAAAAGGCCTCCACGGGCGGCCAAGGCTTCCACATGTGGCAAGCCAAGGGCTCCACATAAAGCCACATAAAGCTGGCCAAGGCCTCCACATAGGGCCAGACAAGGCCTCCACATAAGCAGGGTCCACGTAAGAGAGTCCACGTAGGGGGCTCCA